GGCTCGGGGTGGCTGCCGACAGGGGGGACCTGGGTCCTGGCCCGGACGCCGATGCCCATCAGCCTTTCGAGGGCGCTTCTCACCCCTCTCCCCCTCTCTGCCAGAACTACCAGCTTCATTCAGGAGAGGTTAACGGTGGACTCCCCTCCGTGTCTGGCTTTTCCTCTGCCTCCACGCCGTACGGTGTCTCCAGTCACACGCCCCCCATCAGCGGGACGGACAGCATGATGGGTACGTACAGGCCCCGGGCACGTGGTGGTCCCCAGCATGCCCCCCCCCTTGCTCCACTGCCATGCAGAGGCTTAACTGGAAAATCAGTCTTGTGCAAACCTCTGGCTGCCATATCTGCCTGACGTACTCAGATGCTTTTCATCCCTTGTGTTTCACCCGTGTGTGGCGTTAGTGCGTGAGGAAGAGGCGCAGCAAGATTATTGCTGCTGGATGCCTGGGCAGGCCTTAGCTTGGTGGTTTACACCTCGCTTGGTGGATATGGGAGGAGAGCAGGATCTGTGACATTATCTCTTGGAGGTGCCGTGGCTTAAATGAGTTGCGGGAAGGATTTGCACCTGCGTTGCGGGAAGGCGGGGGTATGTGTGAAGCTGTTCATCTAAATCCGGAATAGGAATGTTTGTGCTGCATTTGGATACCACGTTAAACCCCCGAGTGCTTTAATCTCTAACCCTGCTGACCCTGTTACAAAACCTGTTACTGAAATGAACTCGTGTTCCCCAGGAAATGAGGATCCTGACCTTGATTCATAGAAAACCCCTTGTTTAGAGGAAGGGAAGCAAGTTCGGCATTGTAGGGGCTTAAGATGTCCCATGAAAATGGGCCATGTTGCAGCAGAGACATTTGATGGCTGTTGATGGCATGACACCTTCGACCCAGCGTCTTATAAAGATGTTCCTGCAACCCCACGAAAGCTGCTGGGGTGTGTGTGCCCTCGTCTGGGCTGCTCCGAGCTGGGCACCCACTGAATTTTCGAGCAAAACAGTAGGAGCGAGAGATTTCAATCTCAGAGCGGGTGACCCCAGAGAAGGTCTTGTATGGGTGCCTTGTCCTGCTGGTGCCCTGGCAGTGATGTCTGTGTCCTCTTTCAGCAGGTAACAGAGGAACCACAGCTGGGAGCTCAGGAGACGCGCTCGGGAAGGCACTAGCTTCAGTAAGAGTTTCTGCAAATCCTTACGTAGTCCCTGCCCTGTTGCAGCGTCGGACCTCCCCTCTATAACAGGGACCCTCTAGGCAGCAGGGAAGATGGCCACATTGAGAAGTTTGGGTGAATGCACCCCAAAACCACAGCAGCCTCTGAGAGAAGGGTTTTCCTCCCCCTCTGTGCTGTCATCCTGAGTCCTGGCGCTGTGCAAAAGCATGGGGAAACTGAGGCAGTGGACATTATGGTGGTCCTGCAGACCCAAGCCCATGAGCTGGCTCTGCAGCCACCCAGCCTGGTACTGGTCTGGCAAGACGACCCTACCCAGCCCTCATAGCAGGACTTGCAGGTTCCAGTACTCCTGGCCCTACGTGCGCTGGTTCAAACTGGAGGGCAGTGGTCCCACTGGGCTACCAGAGCTTGGGGTTGCCTCTGTCTCGTTCAGTGCAGGGACCTTTGCTTCTGCATGGTGGCAGAGACGTGCCAGCACTGTACCCTGCAATAATTTCTTGGGGCTCTCGCTCCCCTCCCAGGTGGGACCTGAAGAAGGGAGGCTGTAGCTGCAGGGGTGGTGGCAGTGGTGACAGAGAGAGACCCCGGCGTTAACGGGGGAGCTGTGGGGGCACTAGCAGGGCTGGGAGCTGGGGTGGGTATGGGGGAGGGAGGTGCCGTCGGGTGGTCCTCGCTGCATCGGCTTGGTGGTGCTGCTGGGGAGGGGGAGAGCCGTCACAGGGGTGGGTGCTGCTGACCATGCCCTGCTTCTCTCGCTCCAGATTTATTCCCCTGATCACTCTAGCAATAACTTCTCATCAAACCCCTCTACACCAGTCGGCTCCCCTCAGGGCCTTGCAGGTATGTGAAAAACATTGCTCTTTGTGTAAAGGGGGCTGTCGGGTTTGCTTTCAGGAGGTCCAAGGCCCTGTGCTTCCCAGATCGGCCCCCAACCCCCATTAAAGACACTTTTGGTAATCTCACCCAATCCCATTTATGTTTAAAAGCAGGAGAGTGAAGAGGAAGGATGAGCCAAGTTGGATAAATTTTAAATGCCTCCTGTGAAGTTGCATGTCTGTCTGCTGTAATCAGATGTAGCTTTTCCCCCATTTGGAGCCGAGCAGTGCCTGGGTGCGGCGAACACCGCGTGCGTGAGGGTGATGGCTCTGCCTGCGCCTGCCTGTGCCCCTGCACAGGAGTTTTGGCAGGCGGCTCTGCCAGGGGTGTGAGCCTGGCCCACATGGAAACATCACCATGTGCTTGAGTTAAAGCATTGCTGCCACCCCCTGGGACTCTCTCCTGCCATCCAGACAGACCCTGTCCCTGAGCATCCCGTCTTGGAAAGGCTGGGAGGGTTTGTCCCTGGTTTTGTTTCCTGTGGGAGAAGCACAGTGGGAACTGGGAAGCAGCCAACTAGCTAAAAACCATTTTCATCACCCGATGAAAGCCCTTTGCTGGCGGGAGAGGTCTCGTTTCTGCCCAGCAGAGCTGGCACCGAGGCTTCTTGGTGCCTGGGGTGCAGAGCAGCGCACACCCACCAGCCTGCTGCTCCCCCGGGGCCGGAGCGAGCGCAGCGGGTGTGCTGGCTGTCCGCTCGCTGAGACAAGAGGAATTGGAAAACCTCTAGAGAACTGAAGGCCTTGAGCTCAGTCTCCTGCTGAGGCAGAGCAGAGGCGAGCCCGTAGGGCCATGCGGTGCCGTGGTGGCCCACGCGGTGTTGTGGTGGCCCACGCGGTGTTGTGGTGGCCCGGGCGGTGCTGTGCATGGCATGGTGGCCCAGCTTCCAGCCCCATCTAGCGGCGGCCGTGCCCGGTCCCAAGCTCTCCCCGTTTGTTCGCAGGCACATCCCAGTGGTCGCGAGCGAGCGGACAGGGTGCCTTATCTCCCAGCTACGAAGGGAGCCTCCACACTTTAGTAAGTGTCACCGAAAGATCTGCCTTCTCCTTGTCTCTTCCATCCCTTGTGCTCCTGGCGGTAAGAGCCTTTTGGGTAAAGTCCTCTTCCCTGAACGTCGGCTCTGAAGGAAGATGGTTCATCCATAGATGGGTGTTTGGTTGGGAGCAGCTGAGCAGAGCTGGGCACTGCCTCCCTGAGCCCAGAGCCTCGCTGGCAGAGGGGCAGCCTTGCACCCTCCCCTTATTTACCACCCGCGCACATCCCCGTGGGTCTGGCCCAGCCAAACCGATTTCTGGCTGGTTTCTGCCTCCCTTTCCTGAGCAGCTCTGCTTGGGTGACCCCTTGTGCCTTTAGGGGACAGCACTGACTGGGCAGGGGGGGGGTTACTCCTCCGCATACCTGCCTTGAGGTAGCCGAGTACACGGTTGCCACCAGTCATTCCGCAGTGCAGAGAGCTGCGGCGGGCTGCTGGCTTTACAGGCATTCACACAGTCCTGTTTCTCTGTCCTGTCCTTCCAGCAAAACAAAATGGAAGACAGGTTGGACGAAGCCATCCACGTGCTGAGGAATCACGCCGTGGGCCAGACAGCCACCATGCCCAGCAACCACGGGGACATGCATGGGCTCCTGGGCTCAGCGCCGGCCCACAGCGCCGCCGTGGGCAGCCTGGGCCAGGCCTTCCCTGCCTCGGTCATGTCCTTGGGGAACAGGCACCCGAGTCTGGTAAGTGTGGAAGCATCGTGGCAGCTTGCGGGGACATGCTGGGGACCCACGTCACAGGGTCCCCGGGCATCCAGAGGGACATTGTCTTTGGTGTGAGACTAGCTCGGTCTGGTCCAGCTTGGGTCAACTGGTGGCAGGTTTGAACAGGTGACGTGCACAGAACTGCAGTGGCTCGCGGTGTTCGTGCAGGGGGTTGAATCCATGCTCGGCACAGTGGTGGCTCTGGGGCACACTCCCCACATGAAGGTCACTCGTGCCCCTTCTCAGGGCAGGCAGAGGTGGTGAAAGCTCTTCTTTCCCTGCAACGTGGATGGAAATGCCTCAAAACAGCTTCAAGTTGTCCCCAGGGGATGCAGGGAGGAGAGGGATCCAGTGCAGGGCAGAACCGCGGGTGTAGAGAGCCAGGTATCGCCAGGACTTCCCTGCCCCAAACTGTTCGGGCAGGTACCACGTTCTCCTGTGCACGTGGGGAGTGCTGATGTGCGATGGCTCATTCAGGCTCCAGGGAGCATGACAGGTCCCGGGTGCCCTGAGCACGTGGATGCTGGGGTCCCGTGCTGGGTCATGAGGGTTTCCCCTTGTCCAGAGGCCGCTGACCACAGGAGCACACTTTTGGCTGAGCTGGTTGCCTGCTCCAGCAAACAGTAACACGTCTCCAGTCTCTCTAGACGGCCAGATGTGTTTCCCTTCCAGCTCCCCAGACTCTGCTACTAAACAATGAATCGTGTGTGTGTGTCCCCTCTGTTGCAAACTGCTGCCAGCTGCAGAAATGAGTGTTTGCAGTAGGGCTGGCTCTGTCCTGCCAGTCCCTGGCCGGTGTAGTGCAGCCTCCAGGCCCTTTGGAGTGAAATTCACGCTGCTGGGATGTCCCTTGCTCTGGTGGCACTGGGAGGGTGGTAGAAACATCGGTGCTTGATGGAGACAGGACACGTGGAGCCCAGGCAGGGTGTCCTCTCTGGTGTGCCAGCCTTGCATCCAGGCAGAGAGAGGCTTTTCCGTGGCGGGGGGAGACAGCAGTGATGGGGGCTTTCTGCTTGGTCCGGCTGATGTGCAGGGCCTGGAGCTGCATTCTGCAGTGCCCCTGCCACGCTCCCCAGTGGAGAGCTGGTGCTGGAGCAGGTGGGCTCTTCCCTCCTGCCTGCCCACGCCAACGGGTGGTGGCAATGTGCGAGGAGGGCACGTAGCTGCGCCTCAGCCTCATCCGTGGAGCCCCGCGGCTGTGCTTGGGGTGACTGTGCCCCTGCCCACTGGCTGTGACGCTCCCCCCCCTCCTCAAGGCTTGCTCTGCTTGTTCTGCTGTAGGTGGGAGGAGGTCACCCCGAAGACGGGTTGTCCAGCAACCCCAGCATGCTCCACAACCATGTCACACTTCCGTCACAGCCCAGCTCACTCCCTGACCTCAACAGGCAGCAAGACACGTACAGCGGTAAGGCAGCTCTGCACGCGTGCATGCTTGAGGCTCACCGCCACGGGGGTGATTCGGGTCACCCCTGGGGTCCAGCCCTGTGCAGCAGCAGCCGGGGGGGAGATGGGTGCTCTTGCAAGGCCAGTGCTCGCTCGCAGCATCTGCAGGGCAGTTTCTACCTTGAGCCTTTTCCAGAGGTTTGACCTACATGTTCCTATCCCTCCTGCCAGCTGTGGGTGCACAGAGACCCCGGGCCCTGGTCTGCCAGGGGAGGTTGGGCTCTGATCCTGGAGGGCCCTGGGAGGCAGGGGGAGAACAGGGAGTGGTG